TCCTCTTCTCTTTCACCTCTTCCTCCTCCTCTTCCTCCTTCTCTTTGTCCTCCTCCTCCCTTCTTCCATCCCTCCTTCCTCCTCCTTCCTCCTCCTCCCTTCCTCCTTCCCTCTTCTTCTCTTTCTCTTTCTCCTCCTAGTCCTTCCTTCCTCCTTCCCTCTCCTCCTCCTTCTCTTTCTCCTCTTCCTCTGTCCCTCCCTCCCTCTTCTCTTCCTCCTCCCCCTCCATCTCTCTTCTCTTTCTCTTCCTCCTTGTCTTCCTCCCTCCTTCTCTCTCCTCCTCCTCTTCTTTTTCCTGCTCCTCCTCCCTGCATCCCTCTTCTCCTCCACTCCCACTCTTTTTCTTCCTCTTTCCCCCCCCCCCCCCCCTCCCTCCCTCCTCCCCATAACCCTCCTTCCTTTCTAGCACTGGTGATGTTCCCTAGTTGGGTCATGAGACGCCTGCAAGAAAACCACCCAGCTCAGAGAGCACCCAGGACCTCACAGTCATGATTCTTTTATAGATTGAGAGATATGCATATTCACCTGCCAACTCCCAACAGCTCCAGGTAATTCACAAAACGTTAAAAACAATGTTTAAACATAAACCAACATTAAGCTAAGATAACTAACTTAGATAGCAACAAAGAAGAAAAATCGGATGCTTTAAGTCAGTGATCCCCAACCTTTTTTACGCCGCGGCCCGGTACCGGCATCAGCTGGGCGCCGCGGCCCGGTACCGGCATCAGCTGGGCGCCACCATCTTTTTTTTATGAAAAAGTGCTTCCGGTGAGCTTTCTACCCGGAAAAGCTCACCGGAAGCGCTGGCGCCGCCATCTTTTTTTGATGAACGTGCTTCCGGTGAGCTTTCTACCCGGAAAAGCTCACCGGAAGCACTTTTTCATCAAAAAAAGATGGCGGCGCCCAGCAAGCCAGCGGCCCGGTAGGAGTTGTTCCGCGGACCGGTACCGGTCCGCGGACCAGTGGTTGGGGACCCCTGCTTTAAGTAATTTAAATCACCCATTTGGAGTGAATTCTCCCATTGAATTGGGAGTCGTCTCCTCCTCCTCTTCCTCCGGCTGATCTTTCTCGGGAGTCGACTTCTAAGAAATATTACAATCGTATTTTTCGCTTAGCAACGATTTGCTTAGCATCCGTTCAACTTTTGCAACAACCCTGAAAAAAAGCGACCGACGACCCCTTTTTCCCCACACTTAATGACCGTGGCAACATCCCCGTGGTTAATGGGGAAGCAAGACTCACTCAACAACCCATTTGTTAAGTGTTGCTAACTCTACCACTGACCTGATTCGCTTAACGACCTAGAGCTCACGTAATGACCATCTCACTTAGCAATGGCAAGTTGGGGGCACTCTTACGGTCATAAGTTGAGAACTGTATCACCATCCTCTTCTTTTGAAGTCCCCTATAATCCCTTGTGGGGCGGAGTCTTGGGCACCTAAATGGAGCTGAGTGTTTACTGGCCGGATGCCCTTCCTGTCGCCAGTACAGAGTTGTTTTTTTCAGCAGATATATTCTCATTGAGAGAAATATCTATATAACAGATGCTAAATGTGCACAAAAATGGGAGATTTGGATAGATTTGGAGGTGTGGATTTAGATAGATGATTGATGGCAACATCTGGAGGAGAAACATGGCCACTGGGAGAGAAGATCCATCCTTCAGCTGGTCAAGAAAGTCTTTGGTGCAGAAAAGTGGGGTCCCCCAGGGCCTAAGTGCCCCCCCCAACTGATGTGCTTGTCTCTCTTCCAGGTCCTCCTGCAACTGGACCAGCCGCCGTGGTTGAGAATGGGGACCACGGCCTGGAAGGCAGCCGCCAAGGTAAGACATTGGGTTGACATTCTCCATTTCGCTCCAGAGCTGCTTCCTCATTTGCATGTCGCTGCCAACATATGTGTGATGTGTTGTATGTGTGAAGGTGGACTTCCCCGGGAAGAAGTTTCCGTCTTTCCCCCTCCGGACCCTTATCCGGCGGCCTCAACAATTTAGATTTTTTTTTTTTTGATGGGGAGAACTCATTTTTGATGTCCTTCAAGACTGGGGGCTCTTCGGAGGGGGTGGGGTGGGGTTGTCCATCTTGGACGTTGGGTGACGATGTGGTGAGGTTGAGTCCAGGACAGTTTTTCTCAAACTTGACAAATTTAAGGTGTGTGGACTTCAATTCCCAGAATTCTCTAGTTAACAAAGAGTGGAACAACAAGTCCCGGAATTCTTCACGATCTTCTGCTTTGATGGAGAAGTCAGGAAGGCAAGGATTCTAAAATGGAGTTTCTCAAGGGTTGGTCACTTTAAGATGTGTGGACTTCAACTCCCAGCTTGCAGGCTGCTGCATTCTGGGAGATGAAGTCCACTCAGTGTTTAGGGAATTCTGGGAGTTGAAGTCCCCTCAGTGTTTAGGGAATTCTGGGAGTTGAAGTCCCCTCAGTGTTTAGGGAATTCTAGGATATAAAGTCCTCTCAGTGTTTAG